CACACACACACACACACACACACTCACACACACACACACAGGCACACACACACACTCACACTCACACTCACACACACAGCAGTGCATCTCAAACATCTGTATGTGCGTCCGGCGCACTGACCCCGGGCTGGAGCTCCGAGCCGCAGGTTGACGGGGATCTGCGAGGCCATGGCGAGCAGGTTTTGCTGGAAGGCCTGCTGCATAAGTCTCTGCTGCTCCTCGGCCAGACGCGCCATCTTCCTCTCCGGTGCCTCCGTCTCCAGCTTCTCTCGGAGCTGCTCCAGTGTTGCGGCCCGGGCCAGACCCGCCGCCTGCTGCTGCCCAAACACCAGCGCCACGGAGGACGAGCGGCCCGCCAGCAGAGACGAGACGGCATCGTCTGGAGGAGAGAGAGGAGAACGCATCTGATCAGAAACACACACCTGTGCACGTGCATAACAGTTAGATTCTGCATCAGTGCAACTTGGTATAAATGGGTATCAATGCAATAAACATGGATTTTTAAAACACAAGATGTTCCTTGCAGTGTTATTTTAGTATCATTGACACACTTTTATTTTCTGCTTTCACTTCAATTTTAGTTAAAGTTTTAGCCATTTTGTTTTTAGCATTTTTATTATTTTTTTGGTCTATATTTATTTCAGCTAGTTGCCAAAGCAACATTTTTTATTTTAATTAATTTAGTTTCACTTGATGTACTAAAGCAACTAAAACTGGAATAAAGTTTCATAAATACAATATAGACATTTAAAAAAAAAAAAAAAAACATTAACTAAAATGAAAATGGAAAACATAAAAATAAAATCTAATTCAAAATATTAATAGAAACTCAAATAGTATCTCAATGATACTAATAAACCTGTTTTTTTTAGAACCAAATAAAATGTAATAAAAATGAATAATAATATAATTATTATTATTTTCTGTTTTCACTTAAATGTTTTCATTTTCATTTAAATTTTTAAGTTTTAGTCATTTTTTGTGCCTTTTTTCAATCATTTTTATTACATTTTTAAAAATGTCTATAGTTTTAACTTTATTATTTTTAAAAAAAATGTGTATTAATTTTTATTTATTAGTTTTAGTTTATTTAGTTTTAGTTATTTAATGCTTCAAGTGAAAATAAACGAAAATGAAAAGTGTTGCCATGGCAATTAGCTGGAATAAAATATGTTTATGTTTTAAAAATTTATTTCAGTTACCGTTTATTTTACTTCAAGTAACAAAAATGTTTTTTTTGTTGTTGTTGTTTTTATGTGCTTTTAGTTTTAGTTGTAATTAACAATAATAACCCTGTTCTTTAAAAATTGCAATAAACCACTCAAGGTTGGGATCTGTCAGTTAACAATCTAAAAACTAACCACTTTAAAAACAAAAATACAGGGCAGAAAATGACTGTCTGCGAGAGAAATTAATAATAAGAACAGAAAAAAAACATAAGTTATTCTTTCAAAACAGCCCTTTGCACATGATGTGGCTCATTTGGATGAAACTCTGCCATAATCAGCAAGTGGACAAACACACTAATTACCACATGAAACTTCTGTTTAATATATGTGTATGTGCCATGTGAGGACCAGAAAATGTTCTAGAATCTATTATAGAGCTTATATAGGGTATGAGGGTTTAATGACACAGGCCATCAGAGATAATAAACCTCATGTAATAAGCTACGACAGGGATTTTTCAAATGTTTTATGGCACTCTAGCTGTGAGGGACAGTTTATAAAAACTAGGAAGCTTTTACTGCAAAAATGTATATAATTACATATCAAATAAACATATTATTAGCAAATATGTGTGTGTGTGTGTGTGTGTGTGTGTGTAAAAAATATAAAAAAGAGAACTAGTGTAAATGTCTGAAGATGCAGTTCATATCAGTGTCAACAGGAGGCGCTGTAACACCACAAACACACCAGACTGAACGATTCCGGACATTCTGTTCAACACAGTTTCTTTTTTTCAAGCACTAAAACAGCATGAACACCATAACACCAGAATCACTGCACGGACCTACAGACTCTTTAAAAACAATAAATATAAGTCCTGTAGCTTTAAGCAGGCCTGTCATGATTATGGTTTAATAATTGTCTGACTGTGGTTACTTGATCTCATTGCAGTTAAGATAAATGTGCAGTTTAAATTTCAATCACGTTTTGTTCATGGTTCTGCCAGGTTGTGACGATAACTAATTTTTGCGTCACTCACCCAGTCCCTTCTTCAGAGATGGCCCCGGGGATGCCTGCAGTCCGTTCAGGGCCCCCATGGCCCCCAGCGCTGACAGGTGCATCTTGGGCGGGGTCAGGAGGTGAGGGGCGGAGCCGGGGGAGGGGCTAAAGCGGAACAGGCTGTTGCTGTAACTGGGTCGACGGCCTTCACGTCGGTTGCTGTCGATAGCGGCCTGCAGCTCGCCGGGAGAACTCAACGCTTTCCGCTCGCACTCGTACGGATACAGATACTTCATATACCTGAGACAGAGAAACAACATTAAACACATGAGCAGAACCTGTGGCATGTGGATGGATTTTATTCACATTTTGTGTACCAACTCTGGAGGAAAATCGGCAAAATGCATTTAAATTTAGTACGGTCGCTCCAGTCAATCTTGGATAATTCGCCATTTCACTACAAATTAATCACAACAAAGTGCAGTACTACTTAAAGCTATTGACATGTTATGTGTGATTCACATAAACAGTCGTTTATGTATTAAATTAATGTAAACAGTTAGGATAAAATGGGATGTGCATCAGTATATTGGATACAGGATTTCAGTCTTAAAGTGACAGCAGCCTAATAAACCTGCTGCTGTCTGTCTGACACAAAAATAAACTGCATTTTTATTTCTGTCATGTATGACTATGTACATCTAAAGTGGTATAATATGGTAAATGTGATATCCTAATTAAAAATAAATAAATAAATCAGCAAAATTCCGGAAATTACCGCCACAATTTATTTTTCATGTATGACTATTGTACATCTAACAATAGTACCATACTAATGGGTAATGTATGCATAGTAATGTATTGTTCTGTTTTTCCTTTTTTGATGTAATTGAACTGTTCATTTGTGAGTTGCTTTGCATAAAAGCGTTTTATAAATAAATACACATAAATGTAGTTTCATTAAATGTGAATTCAAGCTAATAATGTAGAATCCTAATTATAAAAAAATAAAAAATAAAAATCACCAAAATTCTGTTAATTACTGCCAACAAATCAGCCATTTTGATAGCAAAAATAAACAAACAAACAGACAGGTAAATAAATAAATAAATAAATAATGTGTCAGAATTTGGTAAGATACAAAAATAATGGCTTTTTTTCGTTATGTATGACCACTGTACATCTAACGTGGCATAATATGGTAAATGGAGTAATCCTAATTATATATATATATATATATATATAAACAGCAAAATTCTGTTAATCACTGCCACCAAATCAGACATTTTGCAAAAAAAATAATAAAATAAAATAAAAATAAACAAATAAATAAATAAAGTGTCAGAATTTGGTCAAATACAAAAATGACAGCATTTTTTTTTCTGTTATGTATGACCACTGTACATCTAACGTGGCATAATATGGTAAATGTAGTAATCATAGTTATTAAAAAAAACAAAAAAAACCCAGCAAAATTCTGGAAATTACTGGCACAAATTCAGCCATTTTTACTGAAAAAAAAAATCCTGGTGGGACTGATAGTAGAATGTGTTGTGCTGCACACTTATTACCAGCTGAAAGCATCATAAATTTAGTTGCTACTCAATCGAACTACAGAGAGAGTTCCTGCACCCACCCCCACACTAAAGCCATCCAAATCAAATCAACAGATCAATAAATCAATAAATCTTTCACCTCAAGCTAATTAGTGGGAGGCAGAATGGGATGTGAAGAGACGAGAAACAGTAAAGAAAGATAGAACCTCCGTCTAGGGGCGTCTCAAAGATCTAAACCATCTAAATATAGTGTTTTCTGTTTCTGATTTGGTGTGTGTGTGTCGTACTGCGTGCGGAGCGTGAATGCAGCGCTGGTGATGGACATGGGCAGGTTGAGACCCTTGGTGATCTCTCTCCAGATCTTCTTGTTGATGACCTCCACCAGTCCACCCTTCTCCGTCACCAGCTTATACAGCATGTACAGATCCAGAACCTGCTTCGCCATAATGGGGATCCTGTTCACCGGAGTCCCTGCGCAAACACCAACACAACCATCAGCTTACACCAAAACTAATCAGAAGCCAGTACAGTGATTTTACTGCCTCATATAACGTCTAACACACCTTAACTGCGGTAAAATCACTGTAACGCATGACTCACGGCAAGAGGAACATAACAAAAGACACCCAACCCATGATCAATAAATCACGACATGAAGAATAAATCACAATAATCCTAATAAACACTCCTCTGTACGGTCACACAGTTCACTGTGGGATGTGTGTGGTTGCCTAGCAACATAACTATCAATGATCAATGAACAGCATGTTAATATAGAACTCAGCTGATGTGTGTGTGTGTGTGTGTGTACAGGCTCATCCAATCAGATGTCAGAATCTGAAACATCTGATTTTAATTATATATTATATAGAGTATACAGTAGATTAGATATTACTTTATTGACACTGAAATAAGTTTTGATAGACATTATTGTTTAGTCTATGCACTGTTGTTCATTGTTGTTGCTTCTAAAATTATATTAATAATAACAACACATTTTTATTTAAATATAAATGATATATTAACAATTTTATACATGAAAAATGAATGGCAAAAAGTAAAATTTTACTTTGCAAAAATATGCACTCAATTTTCCATGTGAAGTTTTTTCCCCTTTTTTTGCTCTATATACATTTTATTTTAATATTTACCAGTGTTATTTTAGTTTTCTTTTTTTTTTTAAAGTTTTTTTTCATTATGTTGTTTGTATGAATATTTTGTAATTAGCTTTTATTTTTATATTTACAATTTTAATTTGATTAATTTTGTTGTTTTTTTATACATTTTATTTAGGTTTAATTTATTCTTATTTCAGTTTTAGTTCAATTTTAGTTTTTATTTATTTCCAGTTAGTAATATTACTTCTTCAGGTTATTTTAGTTAGTTGCCAAGAAAATATTTTTAATTTTCATTTAGTTTTTCATCTTATATTTATATTTCAGCAGTTATTTCAATTAACAAAAGGAAAGTTTTAGTTAATGATAAGAAGCCTAATACATATATATATATATATATATATATATATATATATATATATATAGTATACAGTAGATATTATACATGAGTAAAAAAAAAACTTAAATATTTACTCTTAAATAAACATTGTTTTTCCATTATTTTTTTCCAAAACAAAGACAAACAAACAACAGCAAAAGATCAAAGAAAGTGTACAACATATTAAGTTGGAGCTTTTTTAATTTATGTTTCAAATAAAAAACTAAAAACTGAAAAACATCAAAAACCCATGTTTCATTTTTACTCCATAAACGCATTGAAATGCTTGTGGCAGATGTTGTGTTTGTATAGAGGTGAGAGTTCAAGTCGCCCACCGCAGCACTTCAAAAGACACAGGTGGGCTACAGGCGGAAAAATACATATTAGCCTGCTTTACGCAAACAAACTTAACCTGGATAACAGAGCCAACCCGCCCCAGACTTATGATAGCCATGCATTAATCTTGTCAACAGCTTATCTTTAGGTCAGGGGCGGGTGGAGACGTTTGCTGTAGAGTTAAACGCTCATATGAAAACCACACAGCGGCTCCCTCTGATTGTGCTCTGGAATAAAAACAATTTATGAATCTATAGTAAAACCGCCTGATGTGATGCCTTCAGACACGACAGAACAGCTGAACAGGGTCAAAATGTTAACTAACAGATATCACAATACTTTCCCCAGTTGATTAATCACAGGACATTAGGACAATTGTTTTGTATTACAAGTTTTCTGAAACGTTTTGTTTAATAGCAATATGCAAATGACGCATTATCTAATGTGCATTAATTTGCATCTGAACATTGGATAAAGCCAGGTTCAAAACTCTTTGATTTTGTTGACATATTAGACTTAAAGGTTTTTATAGAGGGGATTTTGGATTTCTCTTTTTATCACTCCAGAAATCAGAAAATACTGTCAACAGACAGAAATAAACGTATTTTCACCACGTTTTTAGGAATAAAATGTTGTAAAAATCAGTGTGAATGCTTTATGAACAAACCCTTCAGTAAAAACCTTCAGAATATAGAGAGGAATAAATCTCTAAGTTTTGGTGTTTGTAAGTGCTGCTGAAGTGGAGAAACAAACTCACAGCCTTTAAATATATGCATTTTCGCCTTGTTTTTAGGAATAAAATGTTGTATAAATCAGTGTGAATGCTTTATGAACAAACCCTTCAGTAAAAACCTTCAGAATATAGAGAGGAATAAAACTGTAAAGTTTAGTGAATGTAAGTGTTGCTGTAGTGGAGAAAAAACTTTTAAAGATAAGAATTGCAATTAAAAATCTACATACGCGAATAGATAAAGTGCAATAATAAAACCAAGTGAATTATGTATGAACAAACCCCTCAGTAAAAACCTTCAGAATATAGAGAGGAATAAATCTCTAAGTTTTGGTGTTTGTAAGTGCTGCTGAAGTGGAGAAAAAACTTTTAAAGCTTTGAATTCGCAAATAGATAAACTGCAATAAAACAAACACTCAAAAGTGTATTTTGGATGTTTTTTTCCCCCCACTAATCTGAATGAAGACATGTTATGGAAGCAAAATAGACAAAAATTTCAAAATTAATACATATATATATATATATATATATATATATATATATATATAGTATACAGTAGATATTATACATGAGTAAAAAAAAAACTTAAATATTTACTCTTAAATAAACATTGTTTTTCCATTATTTTTTTCTAAAACAAAGACAAACAAACAACAGCAAAAGATCAAAGAAAGTGTAAAACATATTAAGTTGGAGCTTTTTTAATTTATGTTTCAAATAAAAAACTAAAAACTGAAAAACATCAAAAACCCATGTTTCATTTTTACTCCATAAACGCATTGAAATGCTTGTGGCAGATGTTGTGTTTGTATAGAGGTGAGAGTTCAAGTCGCCCACCGCAGCACTTCAAAAGACACAGGTGGGCTACAGGCGGAAAAATACATATTAGCCTGCTTTACGCAAACAAACTTAACCTGGATAACAGAGCCAACCCGCCCCAGACTTATGATAGCCATGCATTAATCTTGTCAACAGCTTATCTTTAGGTCAGGGGCGGGTGGAGACGTTTGCTGTAGAGTTAAAGAAAACCACAAAAACCACACAGCGGCTCCCTCTGATTGTGCTCTGGAATAAAAACAATTTATGAATCTATGCCTGATGTGCCTGATGTGATGCCTTCAGACACGACAGAACAGCTGAACAGGGTCAAAATGTTAACTAACAGATATCACAATACTTTCCCCAGTTGATTAATCACAGGACATTAGGACAATTGTTTTGTATTACAAGTTTTCTGAAACGTTTTGTTTAATAGCAATATGCAAATGACGCATTATCTAATGTGCATTAATTTGCATCTGAACATTGGATAAAGCCAGGTTCAAAACTCTTTGATTTTGTTGACATATTAGACTTAAAGGTTTTTATAGAGGGGATTTTGGATTTCTCTTTTTATCACTCCAGAAATCAGAAAATACTGTCAACAGACAGAAATAAACGTATTTTCACCACGTTTTTAGGAATAAAATGTTGTAAAAATCAGTGTGAATGCTTTATGAACAAACCCTTCAGTAAAAACCTTCAGAATATAGAGAGGAATAAATCTCTAAGTTTTGGTGTTTGTAAGTGCTGCTGAAGTGGAGAAACAAACTCACAGCCTTTAAATATATGCATTTTCGCCTTGTTTTTAGGAATAAAATGTTGTATAAATCAGTGTGAATGCTTTATGAACAAACCCTTCAGTAAAAACCTTTAGAATATAGCGAGGAATAAAACTCTAAGTTTTGGTGTATGTGAGTGCTGCTGAAGTGGACAAACAAACTCATTTTAAGAAAATAGGCTTTAAAAATATGTATAGCAAATTAAGATGCAATTAGATAAAAGTGCAATAATAAAACCATACAAATGATATATGAACAATCCTTCCAGTGCAAACCTTCAGAATATAGAGAGGAATAAAACTGTTTTTGGTGTATGTAAGAAAACTTTTAAAGGTGTGAATTGCTTTTAAAAATCAACAGACGTAAATAGATGAAGTGCAATAAAACAAACACTTGAAGTGTATTTTGGATGCTTTTTTTCACTAGTCTGAAAAAACACATTACGGAAGCATAATAGACCAAAATTTTTAAATGAACAAGTGCATGATTATCAGAAGAACAGAAACACGAGTAACACACACAGACTTTGGTGAGATTCTTATCAACAGCGTCCTAGATAAACAACTCAAATGACGGCTTTACGATCTCGCTCTACAAAGAAAAACTTAAAACAGAAATGCAAGAATGTGTAATGAAAAACAGGCAAGGTTTAAAGGTCGTGTGACGCGCCCCGACACGCACACATGACAACAAAAGGCTTCATATGCCTGTGAAACTCAGCATCTTGGGAGAACACGCGTGTCATTAGAGCAGCCGGTATATTTCAGAGCACGGTTTGATCAACTGGTCCAGAAACATCTCTGCAGTTCACTGATGCCTCTGACCACCAACCCAACATCAAACAATTAGTACAATCGCAAGGGTCAAAGGTCAGCCTGAGGTTATTGATGGCTGAATTAAAACGCCAGTCAGCAGGAAGTCAAGCTTTTATAGAAACACGCGCACACAGAGACTATACGACAGACAATAGAAACAACCCTGAATGATTAATACTGACTGCTACAACACTAACACTAACTACAACACTGAGGAGATTTTGCTGTACGGTAAAAATATAAACACTGCCATTCGATTGGGGTCTGAGAGATTTATAAATGTTTTATTTAAAAGAAGTCTTTTCTGCTCAGCAAAGCTGCATTTATTTGATCAAAAATACAGTAAAAATGTGAAATATTATTATGATTCAAAATCACTGTTTTCTATGTGAATATCTGTTAAACAGTCATTTATTTCTGTGATCAAAGCTGAATTTTCAGCATCATTATTACTCCAGTCTTCAGTGTCACATGATCTTCAGAAATCATTCTAAT